AATAATAAAAAAATTATTAAAAATGTCGTAATGATGAGTTCCAGTTGTGGTGCCAAAAAGGATCCAGTTACTAACTGGAATCCATCAGGAAAAGAAACAATCCTTCTATGACTCATTTTGATGTTCAACTATCGCTAGCTGGCTCAGCTTGTATGAAACAAGGAGCCAATCAGCTCTTCAAAAGCAATTCTCAAAAAAATATGGTTTTACCACGTAATGTTGAATTATTGGAAAAAACGCTGCCTTACAAACCCATTTCAAGTTTTTTCGCGTAACAGTGAAGTACGACGAGAATTTTCCTCATTTAGATTATTACTATTTCTGAACAAATTTGCCATAATTAGACAAAATCCTGGTTAAAAAAACCAAGCTTACGGTGAGAGAAATCTTGTGCATCATCGTACAGCTGCTCGGCAAGCTCCTTGGTTGGCGAGATAACAATGCAATATGGCATGCTCGCTTTCGATCCTGTAAAATTTTCTTAGTTTTTTAAAAGAACGGAAGAAATGAAACATAAAATTCACTAACTCACTTATAAGCTTCGGGCAAGAACTGGTGCAATTAGTTTTAAAAGAAAATACATTTGGATCGAATGTAATTTATAGTCTGGTTCGTCCAAAATACAAATAAAGAACGCTTAATTTTGAGTAATTCGTAGCCTGTTTTCAGCAATTCTGAGTAAAACCAAGCAAGCTGGCTGGTGAAGCGGAAAGCTGAGTGTATTTTTTTAAGGTTTTACTGATTTGAAATTATAACTTACCAGAACGCGTTTTTGCTGCCAAAATATAATCAATTATCGGTATCAAATATGCTGCTGTTTTTCCACCTCCTGTTGCTGCATGTCCGATAACATCATAGCCTGAAACAACTTGCTATAAAAAAAAGAAAGTGGCAAGTAACTCTGCTCCCGTACTGGGAAACGAGAGCTCGATTCTTTCGCTGGGACAATCAAATTCCCTACGATTTGCTGCTTCACAAGTAATGTAAGGGCCACTAGATCAGCGAATGAAAAAAGGACGGTTCAAGTGAGACGGCCGAACAAGGTTAAATTGAAAAACAAGTTGATAGATCTTTTAAAGTTCATAACTTTGTAAAAAAAAAGCTCCGTACACGACAAATAAGTAGTCAAGCTCTAAAGCTAAGACAAACAAAAGCGCTGCTTTCTGCAGTGATGGCAGGGGAGTGGATGAAAATAAGGTCTAAGAATAAGGTCTAACAACATCCACTCAGAATACCGTTGCGATTTCAAAAAAAAAACCAAAAAAAACAGCAACGAAAATGCTCACCAGCACAAATCAGAGAAAATGCTGCACGCTGTATTGGTAAGGGCTTTTCGTAGCCTTTGTGCCTGATATTTTCCAGAAGTTTCGGATGCAAATTCATTTCTTCGAATGTACTAAACAATAAATGGAC